CACTGCTGTATCTCCACTTCGTCCTGCTCGACATGCTAATAGTGTGCTTCAACATCAGTGCAATCGCATTCATACTCGTGCCATGCAGCTCTCACTTCATCCGCCTCCACCACTTCTGCTAGCATTTGTATAATGAAGAGTGTAAACATGACGTTGAGGGCCATAAATGGAGTAGGAAACGGAGGTAGAGGAGCAATTGTAACTACTTTACGTGTTTGTATGCGGTGGCAAGAACGCGGGGCAGAATAAAAAGCGAGAAGTAAAGCATGCAACAATGAAGCAATGAAAGAATGCCAAAATGAATGAGTGTATGAACGAATGAGTGATGTATTAAGGGGAATTTAGAGACAAAAAGCGTGGAGAGTTCGGAGGAAGAGGGAAGGGACACAATGCGTGTTTGACTAGGAAAAGTGCACCATTAAAGGTGAGACCTAAAGAGTGAATTAACGCCAGCAATTACTCCACGTAGAAACTTTCGGTTCCGTCACACCATTGAGGCTATGCTACGTCGGGCCGGGTTAGTACAATTGTTGGTGACGGATGAGGAAGGCTCGGGGTCGCTGGCCCATTTAAACTCATCCTTTGCCTCTGCTCTTTCCTTTATTTCCCCTACCTCCCCTACCATCATCTATCCTCTATTCTTTTCTACTCCACTTTCCTGTAGATATAATTTAGTTTGATTTAAACGATTCTCTGTTAAAAAGGGAGATGGATGCATGCAAATCTGGTCACAACATGCAATCAACTTAGACGTAACTTACATTTGAAAGATTCAAGCCACATACCTTTTGACAAAACACACCTAGTTCATAATTGTAAGTAGCTTCTGGTGCCAAAACTCGTAGAGGATTCTTGAAGTGACATACCTGAATTAAATAAATTATGCGTTTGTGGAAAAAGAAAAGGGCTTGCAATGGGTATGAGCTGCTCAGAAGATTCACAGCTTACTAAAAATACCCACTGAATTGACTTATTGCAATTTTTGGAGTTAGGTAAGGTCAGTTCTAACATCCGTATTGTCCATACGCGACTTGTGCTTAGTAGGGCATTTTTGTGTTCATCCTCTACTTTCCTAGCAGTTGGAATCTTCTTCAATGTCTGCTTGATCTGATCCTAATCGATCTTTCTAGGTTCGAGGATCTGATATTGGATCCAACTAGAACAGCACCTATTGCGACTTTTGATCGAGTCCCAAAATTTGAAAAACCAGAGACGTGTCATTAGGAGTGACACATCATCCAATAATATACTTAGTTTGACCAGCTACGTATTTGACATCACTGCAACTGAGAAGGATTTGGTCATACACTACTCAGCCCTGGCTCCTCATTAATGTATGTTTGGTAACATCCCCAATTTGTTTCTGAATGACTCTGGCAAGCTTTAAAAAACACAGCACTAAGCGTATAAAAACTACAAGGTATGTCGTGTGCAGTACCACATTCTTTTACTGAAACACAAATTTGAAACGATGAAATTGTTACTTACACCTCCGAAGAAAGTGAGTCTTTTCCAACTACATTTTTCGCGAATCCGTAGGCCCTTAATAGTTCTTTCACTATCCATTCCTGCATACGCTTATACTTCACCGTCTCCTGCTTCTATACAGCAAACTAAAATAGATGGCGAAATTTCAATGCAATAGGTAGAGACCTGAGAAGAAGAGGTGCTCCAAAATAAGTTTTTACCCATTGTCAACAAATTTCTGCATTCTTGTCACAAGGCTCTTTGAATTCTAATCCTCACACAACGGGTATTTGTTGTTATTATTCGGTGCCACTTAATATCTCAAACACCAAGAGCCTGCGACATAAAAGACAAGTATGTGTTAAACCGAAAACCTTGTATAAAGATAGAAATAGTCATGGACAAGTCGTCGTAAATGGTTACATGTCCTACTGTTTGATAAAAATAGGCGGATTTCAGATGGCAGATCAGTTCAACAGGCCCAATTGCTCTGTCGCTTGTTACAGTGTTTTATGGATCCCAGTCAGTTGCATTCACTCCATCGATGTAAGCTGACAAACCTGCTTTATGTACAAATACTATCAACTGTCATGTACAGATACTTTTGCCTCAATATTTCTATCCTGAGGATTTCAACGGGTAATTGTGCGCTTAAACCGGTCACTCCATTCTTCTTGCTCGCAGCTCATTAAGCTTTAGGCATTCCCATGTTTTAGCAAAAATACTTTATTCCTACTCAACATTGGATCAGTTCCAATTCTGACTATTAGCTACTCTTGAAGTAACCCAAACCTGCTAACTGCCATAATCATTTTGCCTTTAGTTAAGTGCAGCCCTGTAATACTTAGCGCTCAATCAATCGCCAATTAAATTACTTCTCAATGCATACCGTAAGTATTGTCTGTGTTTATTAGTTATCTAATTCTAGCAGGCTCTTCCTTTTTTAAGTCTTGTAGGTCAGTTGCAAAGTGTAATCATCTTTACCCCTAATTAATGACATACAATTACGGGATGCACACAAATCTCGTTGAGACTAAGCGGCGAAAGGAGATATCACGACAGCAATTCTGCATGTCCTGACACCAGTTCAATCGAGCTTGCTGGATTGTTTTCTGTCCAAGTAGCCATGATGAAACTACAGCCTAGGTGCATAAATACATGCGTAAATCAGAAAGAAGCCCAAACAAGTCAGTTTTAAGTTATACGGTCCAATACATATATACAGACATGGCTCTACAGCAATGCCACCGAACAGAAGTGAAAATTGCTGGGAGTAAAGAGCCTACGTTGTTTAGCGCATAGCTAAGTACCATATATATTTTTGATCAAATAG